AAAAAAAAAAAAAAAGAAAAATGGCCTGTAATAAATCACCCTTCTATATGAAGAAGCACAGTGCTGCCCCTTTCCCTTCCTTCAGTACTGGAGAATCCTCCTGTGTGCAGGCCTTTTCTTTGCTGTTCCATGGACAATCTCCTTTACTTACTTTCGGATTTCTGCTAAGAAGTGTCTCATTTAGACCTTTTCTAACTTGTGGTTCTCCTTATCCTTCCTATCTAGTTTTAGCTTTCACTTACTGCTGTATGATAGACTAAATATTCAAAGGCTATTTTCCCCACACCTTAATTATGACCACATGTTGCATAGTGCCTAAAAATCTCTAACACAATATTGTCCCTAGAAATTTCTACTGAGAAATTTCCCTTATCCTATATAGCAGTCACACCACTAGCCACTGAGCAGTAGAAATTTAAGTTGACCAAGAAATTAAATTTTTAAATCTCTACTACACAATTTTTTTTGTTGTTGTTGTTGTAGTTTGGCTGGGGCCAGGTTTGAACCCACCATCCTCAGTACATGGGGCCAGTGCCCTACTCATAGAGCCACAGGCACCGCTCTCTACTTCATATTTTTTATTTTATTATTATTTTTATTATTTTTGCCTGGGGCTAGGTTTGAACCCACCTCCAGCATATGGGGCCAGCACCTTACTCCTTTGAGCCACAGGCACGGCCAATTTTACTTAATTTTTTTTAGGTTTTGGCCAGGGGTTGGTTTGAACCGGCCACCTCTAGAATATGGGGCCAGCGCCCTACTCCTTTGAGCCACAGGCACTGCCCTTATTTTATTTTTTTGAGACAGAATCTCACTATGTCACCCTGGGTAGAGTGCCATGGTGTCTCAGCTCGGAGGAAACTCAAACTCTTGGGCTTAAACAATTCTCTTGGCTCGGCGCCTGTGGCTCAAGTGGCTAAGGCACCAGCCACAGACACCTAAGGTGGTGGGTTCAAATCCAGCCTGGGCCTGCCAAACAACAATGACGGCTGCAACCAAAAAATAGCTGGGCGTTGTGGCGGGCGCCTGTGGTCCCAGCTACCTGGGAGGCTGAGGCAGGAGACTCGCTTGAGCCCAGGAGTTGGAGGTTGCTGTGAGCTGTG